TATAAGTAGAAAATAAAATTGCCTACTAGAGTTTTATGTCTCATAATCTCTTTGATTTAAAAAGCAGAAAGTGTTGTTTTGATTCTGACTCTCATCTTCGAGTTGTTTGACACATAATTAAAGGTCTCATACCGTTTTACATGTATTTGTTTTTTGTCGATGGAAGAAAAGAAATAATACTAAAATGTACTTTCTTCCAATTGCACTGAGATATTAAATATATTAAAAATACATGACATTACATGTAATAAAAATGAGAATTGATTAAATAGTATTAAAATTAATCAAGATCTCGATTATAGCTAGATTCTTCATAGATAAATTAAAAAGGATGAAATTATTTAAATTATTTTTAGGAAGTTTATAAAATTGCATGACATTTTTTAGTAACTTCATCGGTCCCGTATCTGTCCATTCAAGATATAATCATAGAAGTATTGTTTCTGGTTTAAAGCTCAAGTCAGTATCAATATAAATCTTTAGAAAATTCTAGGCTAACAAAAAAAAACTTTCTTCTAGGATTTAACCAGTTCAGAATGCGATACAATAAAAATTTGAAGAAGAAATCTTCACACTTATTGCTATTGAGAATAGCTAAAATCATGATGAAATCTTTTACGATCGTTTTTTTTTGTGATAATTCCCAAAAATGTACACCTATTGAATAACCTACAAAACACAAACTTGCAAAAATTTTAGATCTAGATTTCGATAGAAGATTCGAATTGTCTTGTACAGAAGTGAAAATACTTAATTTTAGAAAGTTCGAAATCGATCCGTGATCGAAACTGCTATTGTTTAAAAGACCATATTCCATACACCGACACCCTATTAAGTTGAAAATTTGTAATACATTAGAAATGAATTCAGAATAAAAGATTTGATTGATTCGTATATAGATTATTGTTTGTGCTACAATGCAGAATAATGAACATGACAGATTCTTCAAATATTCTTGAACTTGAGAGAGATTTATTTTTGAGTTCTTTTCATGTACTAAAATTCGAACATACGTATTTTTTTATCCAAACTTATCTTATTTAGTACTTCGATTAGCCTTTCTACAAACTACTTGTTTGTTTGAGATTCAGGAATAAATTACTCAGGAATAAGTATAATGCAAAATTCATGGCATAAAATACTTTCGAATGGTGTATGATTTATATTTGTCACACATTCGTAAATGGAATAAGAAAGAAAAATACTTACACAAAAACTTTGTAATTTTTTTATATGAATCAGTCAAAAACGTCTTATGCATGATAGTTAAGTATAATTAACTATCGTTATTATCTAGCAAGATGTTTTTAACGAATTCATATAAAAGTGACAAATTTATTTTGTCTCATTTCACTCAGAAATGTGTGATGAACATAAATCATACACCGTTTCCTATCAACTGATAACAAAATAGTTTTTCCTTACGTTCAAATTCTATTATAACTCATTTTATTGTAAAATCCAAACAATAAAAAATGAAATGATTATTAAATATATTTCAAACTCGAACTAACAAAATCAGTAAATATGTTGGAAAAATTCGACAAAAAAGAAAATTTCATTCACGATAAAATTCGAGTTCATCGCAATTTTTCACATTACCAGTTAAATTTTAGTTAGTTTTAGTCAAATTAAGGATTCTTATACAAAATATTTCAGAAAAATCAACAATGTTTTGTTTTCAACATTGAGAAAAACCAGATTCTAATCAACTTCATAAGTAAAAAGCTTTTGTAATTGAGAGCAGTTCAATACTGTTTAAAACAAATGAGAATGAGTCATTTTAATGAAATCGATGCTTATTTCTACTCCATACTTTTGTTTTCATTTTAGTACCACTACGTGCAAGTTCCATTGATATTTCTCCAAATGCAACATGGTCACAGAATGGTATCACTGTTGCTGGAGGAAATGGAGGAGGCAGTGAAACCAATCAACTCTACTGGCCATTGGGTTTGTACGTCGACGATGATCAAACGATTTATGTCGCTGATTGGTTGAATCATCGTATTGTGGAATGGAAATCTGGTGCAAAGAATGGAAAAGTAGTTGCTGGTGGAAATGGAGATGGAAATGGAGCTCATCAGTTAAACTGCCCACGAGATGTAATTATCGACAAAGAAAGCGATAGTCTCATCATCAGCGATAGAGGGAATAACAGAGTAGTTCGATGGCCTCGTCGAAATGGTACTCGTGGAGAAACAATTATTTCAAATATCGATTGCGTGGGTTTGACAAAGGACGACAATGGTTTTCTCTATGTCGTTGACACTGAAAAATATGAAGTGAGACGATATAAAATTGGTGACACTCAAGGAACAGTGGTTGCAGGTGGCAATGGAGAAGGAAATCGTCTCGATCAACTCTCTTATTCCCGCTACGTATTTGTTGATCGAGATCATTCAGTTTATGTGTCTGATTATGAAAATCATCGTGTAATGAAATGGAAAGAAGGTGCAAAACAAGGCATTGTCGTAGCCGGTGGTCAAGGAGCAGGACAAAGTCTTACACAATTGAATGAACCTCGTGGAGTCGTTGTCGATCAATTGGGTACTGTCTATGTGACCGATTCTTGGAATCATCGAATCATGCGTTGGCCAAAAGGAGCCACACAAGGAAATGTCATCGTTGGTGGAAACGGTAAAGGAGCACAGTCGAATCAACTCGATCAACCCATAGGTTTATCATTTGATCGATATGGCAATCTCTATGTCGTCGATTACGGAAATAAACGAGTACAAAAATTTGATATCCTATGAAATTCAATACGATGATGAATTTTATTTCCTTTGTTCTCTTTCTCTTTCAAATAAATCGCGATTCAATGAAAAAATGAATTCATAGCTATTCTATTCTCTTCGCGCGCGCGCGACCAGGAACCATCCTGGTGGAGCCGTGGCGAGCGTAGTGCTCATGCACGCGCGGGAAGACCCACATCATCCACATGCATCCATCCGATGTCATATGTCAGTGAGTCTGGGGGCCCGATCGTGTGCCACGGACACCATGACAGTTCCTGGCCAGGCTTTTAGGGACTACCCGGAAGTCCTTCTTATAAAGCGAAACCCTAAACTCAACGTACCTCACTCACCCTAACTATTCTCATCTCAACAAAGAAAAGAAAAAGAAAAACATGAATATAAAAGATCACAACAGGACTTACCACCCTCTGTATGATCCAATAAAGAAAAAAAAAAGAAGAAAAAAAATAAAAACTGATACCTACATTTTTTTATTGTGTTGTATTGACTTGAATTGTATAATTTTGTATCGTTGCAGCCAATCTAAAATATAAAAAGAAAAGATTAATATTTGATTCAATAAATTGAATGATTTTACGTAGAAAATCATTCATATTTATATGTTAAAAATCGATAATTTTCTTTGTTTTTTTTCTCGTCAGAGAGTGATGAAAAGATGATAAAAATTAAGCTATTATCAACATGCACGCATACATTGAGATAAGGTCAATCACAGTATCTCAATGTATGTGTATGGATAATGCTTAATTGACGTACACACTCATTATGTCATATTATCATTGATCATCAATGACAACATGAAGCATAACTTACGGACGAGAGAAGAAAAGAAAAAAACATTATTGTCTAGGCCTGTTTTTCATTCTTGTCTGTGTCATGTTCGTTTGTGAGCACACGAAGCAGACGAACACACAATATTCAAGTATGTGTTCATCATTGAATTCTTTTCTCTTTGTTCGATAGATCAGCAGCAACATGGAAAAATTTTTATCATATATTCGCAATTTTTAATATGTAAAATATGAATTTATTGTAATTATTGCAACTTGTCAACCTGAAGGGCGTCATTTGTCTGATTTGAATGCTAATGGGTTGCTCGAAATCAATTTATTTTTCTTGATAAAAAAATTATATTGTAAGTTTAAATTTGTTTCTTTTTTAAATTTTTTCATTAATTTTTTAGGTTGGTACACGTCTTTTATTAATTCGTGAAAATTATGATATTATTTTATATGATGCTCAACAAAAGCGCTCATTAACAAGTATAAGAAAAAGCAATATGGTCAAATGATAAAGTATGCCCTTATTAATGGTGATCATGGAGTTATTTGTACAGTTGATTTACCTATTTATAGAACAAAAGTTAATGAAAATATTGTTTTTTTTGTTTTCATATAGAAGTTCGACCAACATTAGATGGTAAAGATTGTTGGGAAAAATTAACTTTTATTTATTTACAAGATCAGATTCCAATGCTATTAGGAGATGTTGAAGAATGCATTAAACTTCTTAGACAATGAAATCAAAATAAGATTTTAGATTGTTCTTTTCTTTTTTCTAAGAGAAAATTATTAAATTTGTTGCGCTTCTTGTACACTGGAATCACTTGATGAAAAAGTAATTTATTATTGACAACAAAAAAAATTCTCATCTTAATACTTCTTCTGAAGGTCTTTAGAAAAAAAAACAAAACAATATAGAAAATTTTATAGTTTTCTAATATTTTCAGCTAAAAGTCCTGAAATCTAGTTATAAATTTTCGTGCCAGTATATCAATTCTTTTGAGATTCTAAATAATATCTAAGAATGTTTAATTATGTCTAGCATATCCTTTATCTAAAGATTTTCCCGTACTATTGGATAGAGAAGTTTATGATAATTATCGATGTTGCTTTTGATATTGACAGATAAGATTTTTTTGAAAATAGATTACAAGAAATTACCATGTCATAGTTAATTTAGTGTTCCTGCTTTGATTGATATCCATTTAAATGTAGATTTTAAAAAAGTAAGAAGACTTCTCATATTCTATGTCAAAAAAGAAATAGGTCGGTAGACTGAGATTTCAACAAAGATGTTATTACTTGTTCTTTATTTAATTGATATGTTAGATATGAAGTATTAAGATAGACATACATTTAATCAATATTAATCTCGTGTTAAATTTCATAATTCAAAATAAAATATATTTTTTTAGTTACTTGAAACAAATCTACATGCTAAATTAATTTTGCTACCATGTCCAAGAAGTCAACAAGAATTAAAGCAGGTTTAATATCAAACAGAACAGCAAAACTTGCTGCAAACCTTTATATTGATGAAATAGCAAGAAGTGGTGAAGATTGGACTGATGATGCA